ATGTTGGGTTCGTCAGGCCTCAGTTGTCCTTTTGTCTGCCCCTGCATCTCTATCAACAAACAGCTCTTGCTGCAATATGATCTCTAATCCATTGGCGTAGGTTTGCATAGGGACCAAAGGGACATGTCTCTACCAACATTTATGACCGACTACTTGTCCCTACCAATAATTCGATGTGAACAACATGTTTATAATTTACAATACAGCGTTGTTGCCTCAGTCGCTTCTTTTCTTCTCGCAGCTCCTCTGCCTAGTAGCTGCTGCCCTTTTTTTCCTGTTCCTATGCCTTTTCAGCTAACTGTGCAGCGCTGTTTAACTTCACTCTCTGATCTTTCCGCCTTAAGTTCTGTCTTCTCTCTTTCTGATTGTTTGTTTTCTAGTCTGTACGTCTGTGCTTGTGCATGTAAAAAAAAATAAATAAATTGACGCTAGAATACCGTGGTTACAAAAAGTAATATTAGGCTACAACAAAAAACGTAATATCTCGGCTAAAACAGGCAAAAGCTTCTGATTGCATTTCTATAAAGAAGAAAGAGAGTGTTTTGATTTCTGTAACTTGAGAAATGTAAATAACCAACGTTAGGACCTCAAAATAATATTTTATTCTTAAGTATGATACAGTTTAATAACAAACCTTTTTTTTTTTCTTTCATAAAACTTAATAGTCTGAGTCAGACTGGAGTTCTGAGAACTGCCGATAAATGGACAAGCAGAGACTGTAACCTATCAAAATGTCTTATTCCCTTTTACCATTATTTCTTTGCTACAGTATTACTGTTTTCAGTTTTTGACGACCCTTTGAGGCAGTTGAAGTATAAATAGCAGCTGTTATTTATTTTACAGAGTATAACAACATGAGGTGGATCCTAAACATCTGCTACTTTTGGTTTTCCACATAATAATAGTGCTATTTAATTGACAATTTCTACTTCTGCAAATAGGATAAAAACAAGAACAAACAGAGGAACATTATTTACATTGATTCTTTTTTACATAGATTTCCACACAGTCCATAAGTAAACTAGTGCAAACATTAATGTCTGGTAAAAATGCTTGAATCTGGCTGTTTATTTTGAATACTATTACGTTACAGATAAAATAGTGTTATATTGTGTTTTTTAATTGTTAAAAGTGATTTTAAATTTGAATAAACTTAGGCTCATTCTTAGTGTTGTGCTTTGTAGATGAAGGTGCTGTTTTAACATTCAGACAGTAAGTAACATAGGATAATATAAATTGTTGTGTTACATTTAATCCTTTACTGTTAAAAACACACTTGTATAATATTAACATTATATGATAATAGGAGACACAGATATCCAGTAAAAATGGTGCAGGGAAGCTTGAAGGTGAAGCAGCTGGCTCTTCAGTGGTTCAGATTATGTCTAAATGATTTTAATTTCAATTAAGGAGAATCTTTTTTATTTATATACAATATAAATATCCATGTCTATTTGATTTAGCTGAATTTAGGAAAATCAAACATTGAGTGTTGATGTTGCAGTACAGGTAGAGAGAGAAGTGTCCGAACCTTCAGTACTTCAGGTGAGAGTTTAATTTTGTTCAGTACGAGTAATTGAATTCTGGGAACCCTTTTTGGAGCTCACAAATGATGCCATATGAATTTTAGTATAGTTTGATTAACATGTTTGTTAGGTTGGCTGTTTTGTCCCCTTTAGCTGTATTATGTAAGAAATGTGTCTGGAATGTTACCATAAAATCAGGGCTGCAAATAACGATTATTTTGCTAATCGATTAATCTGCCGATTACTTTTCTGATTAATCGATTATTAGTGTTGCACCGATACCGATACCAGTATCGGACAGGGCCCCAATCCAGCACTAAAATGGTGGTATCGGTATTGGCGAGTACCAACAAATAGGTCACCGATGCCATTCTGAGAGCCAAAGGTTTATTCAACTATTACCCACTCCTGGTAGGCAATAAAAAGTTCTACTGGATTCACTTTGTATTAGATTTTTTCCTGCTTCACAAAGGTAGGCAGCAGTTTGACAAAGCCATGATGGCAATTATTTTACATTATTATGGTATCGTATCGGCCGATACTGCACAGCCAGGTATCTGGTAGCGGTATCGGGGCCAAAAAATGGCATCGGCGCAACACTATCGATTAGTCCTATAGCCAAAAGTTTCCTAAAGGAAATTCTTTACAAAATTAAACTAGGTGAAGCAGAAAAGTTTCCTCTTGAGGAGTTCTGGATGTAATATATTGACAGACAAAAACTTCATTTATTTTTTTACCTTAAATGAAAAATGTTTATACATTTTTTACAATCTTGGTATAATTCCTGCTCTTAGTGGGTCTCTCTGTCAGCTAAAGGCACATTTTAGTAGCCCTATACTGCAATTAATGATTAATCAATTAATCAATTTAAATAATCGATTAATATGATTAATTGTTTCAGCCCTAGATAAAATCCATGAAATGGGCTACGCAGAGTAACTACAGCCCAGATGTACAACTTGTATAGTGAAGTTAATCTTTTAAATACTCAGTGTCAGTTCCTCTTATAGTTCCAGTGCTCATGTAAATACAATACATTTATTTACCATCCCTTGAATGTATTATTTTTGCTTAATACAGAGAGAGCATATTAGATAAAGAATGGGTTTTACCTCTGCACAATTCTATATCTTCAAAAGAAAACACAGGATAAATCCACATATAACAGACATATTCAGACTATATTTGGTTAAATAGGGACGTATATACCTACTGTCTTAGTCGCTGGTAAGTTTGAATGCAGACCTTTTCAAAGTGGAAAAAAGTC